CTATTAGAGTAGTTCAAGAGTTGACAGTGTGTAGTGTTTACTAGCTACCTTATCTTACATTTATATGTTCGCAATTAGGGACGTCGAACACAAATAGTCCGAAAGAAACCTTTGATAAATATGTGCGCTATTATATTTCATGTCAAAGCTCCAAAGCGGACCTAATTACCTATTAGAAGTGCCAAGATGAAAGCTGTATCTAACATATCAGCATGTCTACCTTAGAAAATACATTGTTGCATTTCAATAGTTAGTTAATTTTTCATTTTTCATACCTTCTATTTTTTTCCTGGACATCAAAATATTTTTATTGTCGATGTAAACTAAAATATCGCTTCATTTGTTTGCTTTAGATTTTGTATGCAAAACTAAACATGGCCATCCCTAATTTTAAACAGATGGACCAGAGAGAAAGTAACCACTGCAAATTCTTGGGCTGTTCTAAATGTAACATAAATTAATGAATGTTTTTTTTATGAAACAACAACTGCTACAATAATATACGGGGTTAAAACAACTGCTACAATGATATACGAGATTACAACAACTACTACAAAGATGTATTGGGTTACAGCAATTGCTACAATGATATAAAGGGTTACTGTCTGTTCTAAAGTTTATCCTATCCGACTAAATTCTGTAAGAAGAAGGCAAGCGTTATTGTTTTTAAAAACAAATACATTTTATGATTCTAAATTAAAAACATAATGTCATTTTAAAAATATGTATATATTCCTTTTTACTTTATGTACATTTTATTTTTATAAAAAGAAACTCCAAATTTATCACCTATACAAAAGTAAACGCGAATATGATTTTTGTTTGAAATCCTAGGAATAATAAATTCTTTTTCAAAGGTTAACTTACAAAAATAAATATAAATGTCAATGGATATCGTTGTATTCTATGTTTTTATTATTATTTATCTCTTTGTATTGTTTTTGACTAGGGGAGTTTTTACGTCTTGTAGCTTCAGCGAATAATCCAAAAGAGCCGGCCCACAATAGAATCGGTTACAACAATATATATATAAAACGATTTACTCTTTCTACCCCCTTTTAGTACCTAAGACATTATTACAAAAGGAAGGTCTGTTCTGGTTGTCCCCACCGTTAAAGTAGCTAGCTCCATGACCAATTTCTGTGTGTAATAAAAATTCACCAAACGAAAGAAATACTTTATATTCCCGACTGTTACAGCGTGTCTAGAATAAATGGGAGAGTTTAAAATCAGTCAGTAGGAAACAAGCACTCTAACATCAAACTTTTTCTTTAATACAAACAGCTACTGTCATAATCACTCTCAAAGCATTATGATTTGAAGAATTCCTTACTTCTGACATTTTAGTATAAAAAAAGTATGTTAATCAAGTCTTTAAAATGCGCCAGTCGGGTAAGCGTAACATAATTTAATAGCCAAGTTGCAAGAAAAAAATAATACAAATAAAACAGTCTTCAGTTGCCCTTTATTAAATCTAGAATATTCACTGATTCTAAATACGACGCACGAACGTGAAGCCGCTCTACTAAACTTTATACTAGATAAGATTTTTAAAGGTGTTTTTGAAAAGCGTTTCCGCAAAATATGACATCAGTACGGGTCTAGGGTATATTTCTTTGAAATAACAGCACTTGGCTTAAACATGGTGGATAAAGTTACTTTATATTAGCAATTCTCGTTTAAGCTGAAAATTTACACGAATGTATTTTTCCAATTATAATATTGTATCCTAAGGTCTGTCACGCAAATAGAAGACACACACACGTGAGAACAAGAATATCAAAGACAAAACTCGATAAAATGTACTCCTAATTTCTAGGTCATAATGGAAGTTCACATACTCCAGGTTTATTACAAGTACAAGGTTTATTATAGTACAAGGAATCATTAATTTCATAAAGACAGATCTGATAACCCGAGAGGATACAAAGAAAGAAAGCCAGTGCAGACTAATTATCAAACAGAATTTGGTACAGTGTTGTCTGCTGTTGGAGGGTTATTTAAGAGGAGATATGTTTCTATTAGATAGCAACGTTATAATATAGTACACCGAAGGTTACTTCAGAGAAGTTTAATCTTTAGTAACTAGCACCATTATAATATAGTACTCCGAAGGTTACTCCAGAGAAGCTTAACTTTTAACAACTAGCATCGTTATAATATAATACTCCGAAGGTTACTCCAGAGAAGCTTAACCTTTAGTAACTGGCATCGTTATAATATAGTATTCCGAAAGTAACTCCAAAGAAATTGAACCCTTAGCAACCAGCATCGTTATAATATAGTATTCCGAATGTTACTCCAGAGAAGTTGAACCTTTAGTAATTAGCATCGTTATAATATAGTACACTGAAGGTTACTCCAGAGACGTTTAGCCTTTAGTAACTAGCATTGATATAATGAAGTGCTCTGAGGGCTATTAAAGAGGAGTTTAATCTGTAGTAACTAGCATTGATATAATGACGTACTCTGAGGGCTATTAAAGAGGAGTTTAATCTGTAGTAACTAGCATTGATATAATGAAGTACTCTGAGGGTTATTAAAGAAGAGTTTAATCTGTAGTAACTAGCATCGTTCTTATGAAGTACTCTCAGGGTTATAACAGAGAAGTTTAATCTTTAGTAACTAGCATCGATATAATGAAATACTCAAAAGGTTATTATAGAGACGTTTAGCCTTTAGTGACTAGCATCGTCCTTATGTAGTACTCTGGAGGTTATTAAAGAGGAGTTTAATCTGTAGTAACTAGCATTGATATAACGAAGTACTCTGAGGGTTATTAAAGAGGAGTTTAATCTGTAGTAACTAGCATTGATATAATGAAGTACTCTGAGGGTTATTAAAGAAGAGTTTAATCTGTAGTAACTAGCATCGTTCTTATGAAGTACTCTCAGGGTTATAACAGAGAAGTTTAATCTTTAGTAACTAGCATCGATATAATGAAATACTCAAAAGGTTATTATAGAGAATTTTAATCTTTAGTAACTAGCATCTTTGTTATGAAGTACTCTGAGGGTTATTAAAGAGAAGATTAATATTTAGTAACTAGCATCGATACAATGAAGTACTCTGAGGGTTATTGTTTATTTGTTTTGAATTTCGCGCAAAGCTACAAGAGGGCTATCTGCGCTAGCTGTCCCTAATTTAGCAGTGTAAGATTAGAGGGAAGACAGCTAATTATCACCACCTACCGCCAACTCTTGGGCTACTCTTTTACTAAGAATAGTGGGATTGACCGTCACATTATAACGCCCCCAGGGCTGAAAGGGCGAGCATATTTGGTAGGACGGGGATTCGACCCCGCGACCCGCAGATTGTGAGTCGAGCGACCTAACCACCTGGCTATGCCGTACCCTGAGCGTTATTATGAAAAGTTTAATCTTTAATAACTAGCATCGATACAATGAACTACTTTAAGGATTATTAAAGAGGAGATTAAACTTTAGTAACTAGCATAGATATAATGAAGTACTCTGATGATTATTATAGAGAAGTTTAATCTTTAGTAACTAGCATCTTTATTACCAAGTAATCTGAGGGTTATTAAAGAGATGTTTAATTTGTAGTAACTAGCATCGATATAGTGAAGTAAACTGAAGGTTATTAAAGAGAAGTATATTCTTTAGTAATCGTTATAATGAAGTACTCTGAGGGTAAGTGAAGAGAAGTTTAACCTTTAGTAAATAGCATTTATATAATGAAGTAGTCTAAGGGTTATTAAAGAGAAGATTAATCTTTAGTAAATATCATCGATATAATGAAGTACTCTAAGGGTTATTAAAGAGAAGTGTAATCATTAGTAACTACCATCGTTATTATGGAGTGATCTGAGGGTTATTAAAGAATGATTTAATCATTAGTAACAAACATCGTTATTATGAAGTACTATGAGGGTTATTAAAGAGACGTTTAATCTGTAGTAACTAGCATCGATATAGTGAAGTAAACTGAAGGTTATTAAAGAGATGTATATTCTTTAGTAATCGTTATAATGAAGTACTCTGAGGGTAAGTGAAGAGAAGTTTAACCTTTAGTAAATAGCATTTATATAATGAAGTAGTCTAAGGGTTATTAAAGAGAAGATTAATCTTTAGTAAATATCATCGATATAATGAAGTACTCTAAGGGTTATTAAATAGAAGTTTAATCTTTAGCAACTAACATCGTTATTATGAAGTACTGTGAGGGTTATTAAAGAGAAGTGTAATCTTTAGTAACTACCATCGTTATTATGAAATGCTCTGATGGTTATTAAAGAGTAATTTAATCTTTAGTAACTAGCAATTATATAATGAAGTAGTCTAAGGGTTATTAAAAGAGAAGATTAATCTTTAGTATATATCATCGATATAATGAAGTACTCTAAGGGTTATTAAAGAGAAGTGTAATCATTAGTAACTACCATCGTTATTATGGAGTGATCTGAGGGTTATTAAAGAATGATTTAATCTTTAGCAGCTAGCATCGATATAATGAAGTACTGTGAGAGTTATTAAAGAGGAGTTTAATCTTTAGTAAATATCATCCATATGATGAAGTTCTGCGAGGGTTATTATAGAGAAGTTTAACCTTTAGTAACTAACCTCGATATAATGAAGTACACTAAGTGGTTATTAATGAGGAATTTAATCTTATTAAAGGTTATTAAAGAGAAGTTTAACCTGTAGTAAATAACATCGATATAATGAAGTACTCTAAGGGTTATTATAGAGAAGTTTAATATGTAGTAACTAACATCGTTATTTTGAAGTATTCGATGCATTATTTATTATTTGTTGTTTTCCTTCTGATTCTCATCTGGAATTGGATTAGTTTAATAGCTGAACGTTTCGAAATTGTACATATTCCGTGATCAGGAAACTTTATGTAAAAATGTTGCTGTTACTTTACTCTTTTGTTTTTATTAGACTTCTGTATTCACCAAGTAAATATAATACCCATCTCTAATTTTGAACAACTGACCAAAGTGTCTTTGTTGCACTTTGAATCTAATAAAGGGATCAAGTAGTATCAGAATATCTCTCAGTAGAGTCACACCGAATAATATTAGTAAAGATATCAGCAGGAATAATATTAGTAAAGCTATCAGCAGGAATAATATTAGTAAATCTATCAGCAGGAATAATATTAGTAAAGCTATTAGCAGGAATAATATTAGTAAATCTATCAGCAGGAATGATATTAGTAAATCTATCAGCAGGAATAATATTAGTAAAGCTATCAGCAGGAATAATATTAGTAAAGCTATCAGCAGGAATAATATTAGTAAAGCCATCAGCAGGAATAATATTAGTAAATCTATCAGCAGGAATAATATTAGTAAAGCTATCAGCAGGAATAATATTAGTAAATCTATCAGCAGGAATAATATTAGTAAAGCTATCAGCAGGAATAATATTAGTAAAGCTATCAGCAGGAATAATATTAGTAAATCTATCAGCAGGAATAATATTAGTAAAGCTATTAGCAGGAATAATATTAGTAAAGCTATCAGCAGGAATAATATTAGTAAAGCCATCAGCAGGAATAATATTAGTAAAGCCATCAGCAGGAATAATATTAGTAAAGTTATCAGCAGGAATAATATTACTAAAGCCATCAGCAGGAATAATATTAGTAAAGCTATCAGCAGGAATAATAGTAGTAAAGCTATCAGCAGGAACAATATTAGTAAAGCCATCAGCAGGAATAATATTAGTAAAGCCATCAGCAGGAATAATATTAGTAAAGCCATCAGCAGGAATAATATTAGTAAAGCCATCAGCAGATTCGCACTAAATATTCGTAAAAAACATTATCCGTGGTTTTAAATCAAACGAGAATTGGTAAATTTAGGCATGGGTGGATTTTGAGCAAGAATGAAAATATTATCAGCATATTTAAATTGAATTTATCTTCTAATTTAAAGTGAAGAAGAAGCATATGGATTGTTCAATCGCTTTTAATATTGTATGTTCAAATTTACACGTGACAGAAAATCGAAACAAGTTACATTCTGAGATTCATTCGTGCACGCGCACACAGCGGTAACTTAAATTAGCATGAGACAGCGAAACAAATCCAACTGTACATATCGTTCATCTTCTCTGGTAATTCTATTCTTCGTACTAACACACGTCACAAAATGACATACTTCTCCTTCATAGTGTTTACTGACGTTAAACTCACTTTTGATTGTATTAGAACTCAGTATAATCAAAAAAAGAGTTCAAGACGTGTATTGATTTCATAGCAGGCTGTTTATAGCTACTCTTGCGCTTAAGTACCCTTAAAAAAAGAAAATAAAAGTCACTGGAGCTTGGAATCAAAACACTTGAGAGTTAACAAAGACGAAAAGGGTTATCACACTCTACTTGGCTATCTGAAGTATGGAAGCAGAATATCAAACACCTTCGTTACGAAATTTCCCTGTCTATTTAGGTAATATTTTCATGGTTGACTCTATGACTTTGTAGCACTAAATACAGAATGCTTTATATTCTCAACAGGACCATTTCCATCGAAATATATATTTTCATAAATATTCAACGTTTAGACATTTTTGTTTATTTCTTTACAAATATATTTACTTAAGAAATTAAAGTTTTATACGACATCCCATCGAGTGAGCACCTGGAGGTTTTGTTTATTATAATTTTTGTGATACAATTTTAACAGAACTTGCTAGATTATTTTCATGTTAATAGTGTTTCTGCTACTAGAACAAACATGTTTGCTGTTAACAATATTTCTGTTGCTAACAGTGTTTATGGTATTTACAAACTTTTTATTTTCAACAGTATTTCTGTTGCTAGAACAAATTTGTTTCCTGTTAACAGTATTTCTATTGCTAGAACAAACTTGTTTCCCGTTAACAGTATTTCTATTGCAAGAACAAACTTGTTTTCCGTTAACAGTATTTTTATTGCAAGAACAAATTTGTTGCCCGTTAACATTCAAATCACATTATTATTCCATCAAACTAGAGTAGCCTAAGAGTTGGCGGTAGATGCTGTTGACTGTCTGCTTACCCTCTAGTCTACTAGTACAAAAATAGAGACAACTAGCGCGGATAACTTGATGTTTTATACATATTGATTAAAATATGCGAAACTTTAAAAAATACAGCGATATTTCTACAAACTAATGATACAATGAGAGTAGAAATTGGCAATCACATGTGAAAATACATGGTAAAGCGAGACAAGAAATTAATCGGCAGAATTCACGTAATGTTTTGTAATTCTTTCACAACTGAAAGAATAATATAGAAGTGTATCTTGCTTCTGTCTATAGATAGACTAGCCTGGAACCATACCTTGTTCTGGCTAGAGAGAGACTAGCCTGGAAACATACCTTCTTCTGTCTATAGGAAGACTAGCCTGGAAGCATACCTTCTTCTGTCTATAGAGAGACTAGCCTGGAAACATACCTTATTCTGTCTATAGAGAGTCTAGGCTGGGAGAATACCTTCTTCTGTCTCTAGAGAGACTAGGCTGGGAGTATACCTCGTTCTAATTGATGCGATATACCTTTAACTGTGCCTGATTCCTCTAGCATGACCAACTTTGAAGTATTCCTGAGTTTGTCTACTGTACAACTAGCCTGAAAGTATATACCTGGTTCTGTCTAGAGTGCAACTAGCCTGAAAGTGTATACCCGGTTCTGTCTAGAGTGCAACTAGCCTGAAAGTGTATACTTGGTTCTGTCTAGAGTACGACTAGCCTGAAAATGTATACCTGGTTCTGTCTATAGTGTGACTAGCCTGAATGTGTATACCCGGTTCTGTCTAGAGTACGAGTAACCTGAAAGTGTATACCAGGTTCTGTCTAGAGTGCAACTAGCCTGAAAGTGTATACCTGGTTCTGTCTAGAGTGCAACTAGCCTGAAAGTGTATACCTGGTTCTGTCTAGAGTGCAACTAGCCTGAAAATGTATACCCGGTTCTGTCTAGAGTGCAACTAGCCTGAAAGTGTATACTTGGTTCTGTCTAGAGTACGACTAGCCTGAAAATGTATACTTGGTTCTGTCTATAGTGTGACTAGCCTGAATGTGTATCCCTGGTTCTGTCTATAGTGCGACTAGCCTGAATGTGTATAAAAAGTTATGTTTATAGTGCGATTAGCCTGAAAGTGTACACAATTTTCTGTCTATATATTTTATACAAACCTGTCTATAGTGTCTATACAACATGATATATTTAATACAAACACAGGAACCAAAACAAAAGCATATCTGTTTCTTTCTGGTGTTTAATAATGAACTAGTAAATAAACATATACGCCCCTAGTGACTCATTAGTAAGTCTGAAGGCTTATAACGTTTAAAATGGGGTTCGATGCTCGTGATGGACACAGCACAGATTGTGTAGTTTCGTGCTTAGGAAACAAACAAACAAAAAAATATGTTTTTATTTTAGTTCATCTGTGATTATTGTACAAGAAAGAGACTAGGTAATGAATAATTTATTAGTAAAAAAGCTAACAATATTTTCTAACCTGAAGTTTAAATTCAACTTTTTGTTTTGGTTTTGGAAAATAGTATAAAAATTGTTGGATCCTTCCGAATTCTGTTCTTAAGAACGTTTTTTCTTTAAAATAAATCAAGTTCAGATAATTATTTTGTTACGGATCTTCTAGCTCAGAAGATGTGGTAACTTGGACTTCCTGTATAACATTTAAATGAACTCCATGCATCTATAAACATTCGTTTTTCTTTTCTTTTAGAAAATTAATGCATCTCACACGTCTAAGAAAATAATGTACACAAGCCAAAGTCGGAGTGTTACACACCACAACTCCCTAAGAAGTTGGGTTTTCATCTGTGCATGAAAACTTTTCAAATATTTGACCCGTTCAGCAAGAAATCGCTACCTGGAAACAGAAAAATACCAGTTTGGAAGTTGGAGATCTGCTCAAACCATAAGAATAAAAACAGTTAAAAATGTCAAGTCTCTTATGATCGATAATCTATCTTCTTAAACAAGCAGTCAGTTCTGATTTCTGAAACTAATGATCAACAATTCACTTTAAAACAATTAGGTTTGAACTCTGAAACTAATGATCGACAATTCACCTAACAACAGTCATGTATAAACTCTGAAACTAATGATCAACAATTCACTTTACAACAATTAGGTTTGAACTCTGAAACTAATGATCAACAATTCACTTTACAACAATTAGGTTTGAACTCTGAAACTAATGATCAACAATTCACTTTACAACAATTAGGTTTGAACTCTGAAACTAATGATCGCCATTTCCCCCAGCAACAGTCATGTATAAACTCTGAAACTAATGATCAACAATTCACTTTACAACAATTAGGTTTGAACTCTGAAACTAATGATCGACAATTCACCTAACAACAGTCATGTATAAACTCTGAAACTAATGATCAATAATTCACTTTACAACAATTAGGTTTGAACTCTGAAACTAATGATCGACAGTTCACTTAACAACAGTCATGTCTAAACTCTAAAACTAGTGATCAACAATTATTAACCAAATCAAATCTTATTGCGTCCTATAGAAACTACTCTATTTCATAAACTAGATAAACCATCAGCTGAATCTAAATAACTAGAATATGGGAAGTTTTAGACATTATTACTGCAGAATGCTAATCATTATAAAATAATATATTTGTCCATTTATGGATAAACTGTTAAGAAACAAGTAGGATAGGTGGATTTATTGAGTGTAACGTTTCCAGTTTGAGTAAAATGAATCGAGGATTAGATTTGATATTAAGCACAATGCTCTACAATGGGCGATCTGTACTCTGCCCACCACGGGTATCAAAACCCGATTTTTAGCATTGTAAGACCACAGACATACCGCTGTGCCACTGAGGGGCATGAAATGAGGAACTATTACGTTTAACGATGTTGTATACTGTTAATTAAAAGTTAATAGTTTAAATCTATCATATTTAAAGTTAGGGGAAGAACGAAAATACTGATTTATTAATTCATTATCGAGTTTATAGTACTTTATATAGGTTAACAATTATATAAAAATGTTCTTTTTTACTCTGTGAATAATACTAAATTATTATAAAAATATTCCTACTTTTATATATATATCTTCAAGAGAATTTATAATCGCAAATCAAGGAATGCGTCATGGATTGTCTTTTCAATTTCACTTCCGGTGAAAAAGAAAATAACATATATATATATACAATCATTAAACAGTCGGTCACCTCTATAATATTGAATAATGTATTCGACGAAATGTCATAGCGTTATTTATATACCTAAATTAACGGACAAAAAACGTCATAGATGTTTCTGCCTTCAATTTTCAATATGGTGTATTTTTATTTTACAATAACGTAGCCAACACGATGAACTTTTTGGTAGCTTAACTATTGACGCTATGTATAAGTTCGTTAATGTATTTTCAACAGTTTGATCATAAGTCATTTTACTATTTAAGAAAACTGCATGCACTCTTCTGGGTTCCAGTTCTTCGCTTTCTGTTGTGCCATGTATTTATTACACAATTTTAGCTTTTAACCTGAAGAACATCTTATGGGCACGTGGGATAAGGTCAGAGACCATTAGGGTTTAGGTGTTTAAGCCTCTAGTTGTAAAGTATTGACCAGAAGGAGGGCTGAGGTACAGTAGTATCTGAGTTTTTATCTGGGTCTTTGAAATGACTAGTAGGAGTGACTGTTACTCTTTTAACGCGCCCACAGCTGAAAGTGCAGAGCGAGTTTCACATCATTACGTCTCGAACCTTGAATCCTCTACTCCCCAGCCTTAATTTGTTTTATTTACTATG